TTCTTTCAATGCTATCAATATAGATTAATGCTTTTTGTGGACAAGTCGAGATATTCCCCTGGCTCAGTGATAATGCTTTGTGTTTAAATGACTTGAAATAAGAAAAACAACGCCTTGCTAAGTTGTCAACCGTTTCATTGTCCGACGCCGYCTTACATGTCGGCCGAAAGGGCTGAAAGTTTGTCGGTAAGGAAAACGAAGCGTCGAAATTCATTGTAAATCAATTTTCCTTACAATATTGTCTTGTACTGTCCATGAATATGTCCCAGCCACTAGCGTCCACAAATCGAGCCGGCACGTTAGCGTTCAGTTTATAAAGTTTTACAAGTAAATATTGCAATGTATGTCTTCCTGAAATCTCTGTTAGCTGCACCGTAAATAAATGGGTTGATGGCGGTTGAGAGAGTTGCAGAGAACGTAACTAATAGCGTAATGTGTTGCGATACCTCATAGCGTGTTATGATATGCATTGAAAGGCCGATTACAGCGGGAACCCACGAAATACAGAAACCAAGAAATACCATCAGCAAAATCTTGGTAATTTTGGCCTCGCTTATGGACTGTTTGACTGCAATCAAACGGTTTTTACGGTTTGTTTCAATGTTTTCCGGTGTTTTATTGTCTTGATGAGGTCCACGCCTTGATCCGACAGTTTCAGTATGGGTGTGGTCATGTTGGTTAGTGGGTGCAGACGGAGTTGAGTGCTCTTCGTGTGTTTTTCTAAAAGTGGTGTTCATTTCTTTATGCAAGTCGGCTGCAGACTCTCTTTCGTTTCTTTTATTGTCGATTGACATTGGCATCGAACTTTCCGCTAATCGGGCGCCTATTTTACGATTATGTCGATTAATTTTGCAATAAATCAACGAATAAAACACTATGATAATTACGAATGGTAGAACGCCCCAAATGATCACCGCACTGTATTCAACGTATCTTTTCAAGTTTTTATATTTACTGTAAAATATTAACATGCACAAGGCAAACTCCCACACGAATTGAAATTCTGCAAATCCTGGCGCCACAATGCATATCAACACTACAAGAACGCTTAAAGACAT